GCCCCGTGTACTTGTGGGAGGACGATTCCGGCCCAAACCTGTCGAGGTTTGTACAAATTCTGGGCAGACAAATTCTGGGTAGATGTGAATGTTGCATTGCGTTTTTTGTCGGGGATTCCTTGTATGGTCCTCCTGATTCATCCGAAGGCCAGATACATCCGTAATCAGCTTACCTCCAGAGTGGATTGACCAAAGCCCAAACTTTCTGTTGCTATTTCTCCAAACCCAAAAGTCCAGACACCGGGGAGGTGAGTTGATTTCGGCAAGGCTCGTGGTATCCAGGCTGAAACCGGTGCTGCAGCGAGGCGTGCAAATGGCCCCGTGCGGCACCCGGTCGTAGCCTTCTATGCAGTTGGAGAGGCCCTCGATGTCCTCAAGACACACAAAAACAGTGGCTTCAACCTGAAGACCACCCGCAAAATCTTCCTGTTGCTGAAAAAGGTCGTGTTTGAAATGGCAAAACTGTATCTAAAGGAGCCCTGCCAATACTTGCGTGACCATTTTCTTGAATGCATTCGATCACACATGGGTTCCATTGAACAAGAACACATGATTGTGCTTTGGTGCAAGCGATCGGAACCTGTTTGATAGGGTCGCGTTTGTCATGGACCTCCAGACCTGAGGGGCTATCCTAGCATAAGGCAAAGATGAGGCCCTGTGGCCTTATTAAGGGTCTAATAAGGGATATCCCCTCTCCCCATAGCCCCGATTCAAAGTCCATCAGTTTGACAACGAGCTTGGTTCCCTTTTCGCACAACACCACCAAAAGCTGCGCCGTGGCTCATCATAATTCGCCAACCAATCGGAAATGGGCCCCGCCCCCCTTGGGGGAAAAAAAAAGGATCACGGGTTGTTGAAACCCCTTGGTAAGGTCGCGATTTCCAGTGTTCCCCCCATATGCGCCTCTTGCCCGCCTCTTGCCAATGCTTGAAAGAGCATCGGCACCCGCCATTCAGCGAAACCCAACAGACGGCCGAAAACGAAGCCTGCACCCGGAGAGCGAAGTGAAACGCGGCTGGAATCCTGGGGTCCAAGGTATGTGGAAGAAAAAGCGAGCTTGGTCAACTGGGTCAGCTGGGTCAAATGGGTCAGCTGGGTCAACCGGGTCACTAAATAGTTTGTCCAATTGTTGGTCAAGCGAACGTTCAATACCAAACTCACCCGCCTGGGCTTGATTGGGGGTAGGGTACAGGAAGTCAAAAAGTCGGTGTTCCCATTCGCGGTCCAACTTGAGACATGTCACTTGAGGCTTGCTCGAATGAAAGGGTGCCAATTTGGGACCCGTTCACGTTCCCGTTAGAAGAGGGCGTCCCCTTGAGTGAAACCGGTTGCTGTATGACCACGTGTCCCAAAGTGGACTGGGGAAAATGACCTGAAAACGACAGACAGGAAGCCAAAGACCCCCTTTGAACGGTTCTTGGCGCCTTCGGGGTTCTTAGGGGTGCCCAGAGGTAGCACCCACTGGCCCCAGGGACCAGCAACTAATGTGAACCTTGGGGGCCAATGGAAAAAGGATTTTGGATTTGGAAAATTTCGGGTCAACAAATGTGACCTAGGATTTCGAAAATTCACCTTGGGCGGGAAAAACTTGCTGGTTCTCAGGGCATCGCCACGGATCTTGAGAAATGCCAGACCCCCATTTTTGTGGCCAAAAAAGGCGGACGGCAACGAGCCAACGAGCCCAGAAATCCCAGCCGAAGCGTCTGCACCCCATGGGAGGCCCATGGGGGGCGCGCAGTCTTGGCCGGTGCAGGTGAAGGTCGAGGGGGTGAGGAAGGTGTCCACGCAGCTCAGCACCCCCGAGCTCTCCTTGGAAAGGGGGCTTGCTGACCGTCCGTGTGCGGAACTTTCTGTCCAGGATTTTCTGCCTGCGCTTTGGGCTTGAGTTGCTTGATTGGAAAAGGACCCTATGGCATGAAAGATTCCTTGTCCGCCAGCCATTTTGGAGGGTGCCCACTCGAAGTCATGGCCATTTTGGCACCGATCAGCTGACGGGAACGGGGGACATGGTTCACACTCCGCCAATTGGGGCATGTCGCGGTAAGCCGTGGGCGGCAACTCGAACCCGCAACTTGAGAACTAAACAGATCCTAGCAACTGAGCAGCTTGAAAAACTTCTATGTCTTCCCTCCAAAGCTGGCCCGCCAAGCCACGCAATGGAAATCCAGTAGTTGTAAACCAAAAGAAACAGGTGTTTGACGCGGTTTCAGCCGGACACCTGGATAAGACATGCAATAAAATGAAGATTTTGGTTCGGTGTTGGTGGTTGAAAAACATCTTGTTGCACCTAAAAGGCAGACTCGAGCAAGCGCCCAAACCGGGCGTACACCGAGGTGATTGTGGCAGTATTCCCTTGATGTCCGCAAGTGAAGAGGATGATCAAACCACCACGGGGAAGTTGCGCCATCCTTCACCCCAACTATAGATCAAGGCGAAACCTACCTAGAACCAACTACCACCCCTCCACCGGGCCAGCCAAAAACAAACCTGATCCAACCAACCAAAGCAACCAATATAGAACCAACTACCAACCCAAGAAAAGGGCTCGAAAAGGACGCCTCCAGATCCCAACATTTCCCACCCAACTACCCAACTACCGCTACACCAGGCGTCCACGCCGCCCAAGACATAGCCCTCCGCGCACTCTGGCTGGCAGGAGCCCAAGCTGGGGATCGTGGCGCCCGCGCAGGACCTCGGCGCCATCCGAGTCGCGTCGTGTCGCTTGCTCAAAACCCGGCCGTCAATTTGCTCGATCCCCAGATCCCCATGTGGCCATGGGTCAGAAGCCAAATCGAGCCCCCGGTGAACATGGGATTCAATCCAACCACTAAAATAGGAAACCTAAAATGGGTGGAGAATTCACCCACCCCGAAATGGTACCATTGGTTTTGACCCACAGAGGTGTAAAGAATTTAGAAGGATATCGGAATTCCGCAGCTATTTCTGGCAAGGGGATCGTCTCTTAACCTTCATCTACCCAGGTTTTGAGCAAGTGACTCATCTGAGAAAGCCCAACTTCAACCAGTGAGACGAACGGTGGAAAACAGCATACCGTTTTCACATTCAGGGATGCTCCCCCTGGAAATGAGTTACCCCCCCCCCAAAAAAAAAAAAAGAAAAAAAAGAAAAAAACGATGAAGGGTTGACAATTGTTGGTGAACCTTGAAAAGTCATCAGCCAAAAACCACCAAGGGGTAATCCAAATCAACTGCAAGGTGCGGAACCAGTCTTGAAAGGAGCCGCCCTAAAACTGTGAAGAACTATCATTGAGCTTCATGTTTGGAACTCTCAGACCTGCAAGTTGGATGCCTGTCAAGAAAGCTACCACATTGCATGAGGTGCGGATGCTGTGCTAGTGGGAATCGGACGATAAGCCTAATCGAAAAGCCCCTGTGTTCGGCCTTGCGTTCTGCTTCATCAACTGCGTTCCCACGGTTCCTCAAAGGTGCCAGGAAGATTCGCCAAGCCTTCTGCCTTGTAGAGTTCTTCTACTTTCCAAGTCTTAGGTAAGCAACCTGAAAGGGGAGGTTCTGCTTTTTGGTTCGTTGATCCCCTTGGATATGTCATAAATCCCGCACTCCGATCTGAAAGTCCAAGGAACCCTACGGGTGTGCATCTTTTGAGGGCGCCCTTAGGTTGGTGTCAAGGGACACTAAAAAGGGAGCATTGTCTTCCATTTGCTTAAGCGCCCTGGAAAACATATGATAGCTCCAATAGTAGTAGATGTTCTTTAAAACCAACAAGGGGCAAATATTGTATGAGCAAATGAAAGTGCTCTTCAGCAAATGAAAGTTCTGGCATTTGAACACATACCCCGCATGGGAGACCAAAAAAAAGAAGGAGAAAAAAAGAACGAAGAAAAGAAAGAAATATAAAAAAAGGAAGAAAACCCACAGCTCACATTGCGCCAAGGCGCCCCACGGCGTTTTCCACCACCGGCACGGTGCATTGGCCGCGGCACAGCGAAGGAGCCAAGGCGGCGAGGCACCAGGAAACGCGCGGAGCCATCGAGCGGAGTGGGTTGTTTGTAGTGGGCTGGGTCTGAGGGGACCGAAACCTTACTGGGCTGTCCGTTTCAGATCCCCTGCGAAAAGCTGTCTTTGCTTTTTTTTATATATATTTTTAAACTTTTGGTGTGTTAAACGGACACCCAACCACTAGACACTGAAAGTCTAAAAGCCTAAGGGCACAACTGGGAACCGCCAAGTTGAGTGTTTTGGATGGCGTCTTGTGAAGTGGTGGCGTGGCTTGTGTGTGGTGTGTGGGGTGGGGTGCGGTGGGCTGTCAACCTTTGCACGGTGCATTTGGTTCTGATGAGGGTGTGTGTTGGGATGTTTAGGTATGGTGTGCGCTGTTGAGTTGCCCTGCATGAGTGTTCGCGTGATAGGGGTGGGCTGGGGGAATTTGTGTTGGGCTCCGTGGTATCGTGTTGGCTGTTTTGAGGTTTGCTGGGGCATTTGTGTTCTTCCATTTTGCCTGCGAAGGTCACCCAAGCACTTTCTGCCGAACGAGCCTCGCGCCATTCTCGGCCCAAAACCTCATTTTCCTCCCGGCCGGATCGGCAAGCCCCAGCTCAGGGCAGTGAATTCCGCCCACTCTGGGCCATAAAGCTGCAAGACTCGGCCTGGAGCCCTCTAGCTGTGAGAAGGGGCGGGTGGGCAGCTTTGTTCACCCCCAAGCTGAGTGTTGCTCCAAAAAACAGGTTGGGGCGTGCGATGACCCCAAAAACGAGGGGTAAGACAGGTCTCACAAAAAGCGCCCCAAGCGCTCTCTCACCCGATCCTCAAGAAACTTTGGGCTTCCCGACTGGTCTGCCTTGCTCTCGATTTGAGCTTGTTCAAGCCGTGTATTCAAACCATATATCAATATGCAAAAGGCCACCAGGACTGCCTGAGTAGTGGACCAAACGGAACAAATTAAGCCACAAATCAAGAACCATCAAGAGACATCACCCGGCCCCCCCCCCCCCCGCTGGTCTACCCCGCCATTTACCGAGGGGCGTCCCTTCCGCCAGCCGCGCAGAGAGGTTCTCGGCAACCTCCGCGAAGTCCGGTTTGAAGAAGAGCACGCGGCACTGCTGCAGCGGAGCACTCACCTCCGAAGAAAAAAAAACGAGGTGACTGAGACGTTCAGTTCCGCTTTTCAGGTTGGTCGGGAACCTCTTTGCAGCGTTCGCCGAAAAATGACATTTCGGCGGCTCTGTGCTTGGAATACTCCAAACACCAATTTTAGCACAAGTTGAAAAAAAAGAAGCATTGTTGCTGGCAAAACACAAAAGAAACACCGTTGACAGGGCGGCCATATTTTGGAAGCTCGGGTTGCTCCCTGTTCTGCGTCTGGAAAAGGCGCCTGAAAATGCAACTTTTAGATTCTGGTCCATATGGAGTGCCAACCATTTCTCGGCGCGGAGGTGCATCCCCTGATCTTGCAACATCCCACAACTTCTTGTAGATGCTTGGGTGGAACCCCAGACCTTGCCCATGAGAAACAAAGACACCTTGCTTTGCTACTTGATCTTCAAGGGGGAACTCCTCGAACAAGTCGAAGAAAGGAAAACGCCCCGCTCTGCGAAGTAACCGAAGGCGACAAAAGACGACGAGGCATTCCCGCCAGGTGGGACGAGGGCAAAAAACAGGGCTCCTCAAATTCCACAAGCTCAACTAACCTTTTCCTCCCAGGTGGATAGAGCTGGCAACAAACATGTAAAAGAGAAACCAGCAGGCCGCCCTCCAATTTTGACAGCAAGAGGCTATCTTCATCCCCGCTACGCCCCAGTTTAGCTCCCCCCAAAAAGCATCAAGTTGTCAGCTTCAGTCGCCATGTTCACCCGGCGCCGAGGCGCTCCCCTTTAGATAGAAATTGGTCTGGGATCTCTGGGCAGAACGACTTGTGGATCCATTGAAACCCTGGTTGCTTCAAGGGGCGTAGGTCAACACCCCACAAAAGACCCCACAGTTCTATGAATGGGGGCAACACGGAGGGAATAAGTCAGGAGATCTCGGGGGTTTTCCCCTCCCCATGGAGGAAGACTCTATGGAAATCGAGGAGAGGACCTATTTTGGATTGTCATCGTTCCTTTGGCCTGGCGAACACCCACAAAATGCGTAGCTTCCCTCATGTATCCATTGGGAGGGATCTACATACCGCAGAAGCGGGAGGGTGAACCCGCCTCAATCAGCCACTGCCAGTCCGCCATTCGAGGCGACATGTCGCAGGAGTGGCCGGAGTAAATGCGGCGTCTAAGTTTGCGGCAGGGTTGTTCCTTTGTTTTGTTGGGAGGGGGGAGATTGGCATACCTCGAAAAGAGATCCTCTACTTTGCTGGGTTGCCGCTTTACCCTTGTAGGAGTCTTTTATGGGTGTGGACTTTGTGCTTGCAATCATGACAAAAGAGTCAAAGTCTCATGGGCATGTTGTTGTTCCTGGCTGCTGTGCCCATGATGACATTGCTTTTGCAGCACGCGACCCGGGCAGCCCATGCACTTCATTTTACAATTTGTACTGAATCGCAAGCATCAGAGCAAATCCCTTGCTTAAAATTCGCATCATGTCCCTTGCGAAGTCAGCAACAAGGGGCAGAAAGTCTGCACTCTATACATATATATATATATATGTATACTACAATTCCATGGAATCCCGTGGAATTGCAGTTGCTTGGAGGCCTTTTGCAGCCACCTTGAGACATTGCCAAGCACTCTATCTGCGGTTGCGAAAGAAGCGGGCAACGTGTTGCTGTGCGGAAAGGGGCTCGAGATCCGCGACGTACAAATCCTTGAACTGCAAAAACATAGAGCACGCTGGAACTGAATACTTGCGATCTCGAAGCTGACGAATAGCTGGATTCACATGCCCCAAAGGCTGAACAACGTGTTTGGCTCCAAGCCAGACCGCGGTTGCCCAGTGACCTTAGTTCAAGACGCAACCCTGCTTAAATGTCATAACTTGGCAATCGGCCTTTTCTGTTTTGGAGGGGGGGGAAGGGGGAAACGATCTGAAGTTTGAAACCACTGACCCCGAGCACGGGCCAAACCCTGTTCCAAGGGCCAAGGACATTTCTCCAAATGGGTATGCGCGGTTTTGGAAGGTACCCTTTTCACCTTTGAAGACCACAAGGAAAAAAGCCGCCTGGTATACTAGCAAACAATCGGTCTTTTGCGCTCTTGAACATGATAGCAGGATTATCTTAACAAAAAAAAAGAAACGTGGTGCTCCTTTTGAAAACACAAAAAGGGGTACCCTCAACAAAGACAACAGGTGGCCAAGCAACATAGACCCCACGTGTCCAAAAAAACAACATACCGAAACAGCTCGGATGTTCCGAATTGGACCCACGAAAAGTGATGCACTTGTTGCAGAGGGGTCAAAAGCGACCAAGACGAAGGTTCCTTTTCATTTCGCCAGGGAGTCACGACTCCGAAGGATTGGGAAAATTCATGGGACTCAATGGTTCCCCTTGAAGGCCCGAAGGGGCCCTTGGATGGTTGGCTCCCCGACGGTTGGCCCCAGGTAGCAGAGGCCGCTCGAGCAGCTGAAGCGCCTAAGCATTTGGACGACCCCTTTTAAGGAGATCACCTGGGCCCTTTAAAGTCAGTGTGTGGTGAGGTTAAAAGGGGGCAAAGGTTCTCTCCAATCATGGAAGCTGACAAGAGGGTTTAGAAGACCGACTCCTGCAAAGGCCCAATGTGTTTTGGAAAGAGGGTACTGACGAAAACAACCCCAGAACTCTCGTGCTCCACCGTCCCTGCTTGCGAATTCTCTTCAGTGACCGGAATCATAAGTCATCCCTCCAAAGACCCCCAAAAGGCATCGGCGTACATCGGTGACGGGGGGGGGTCTGGCTTCCGACTAGTCATGTTTGATGCGCAATACAGTCTTTTTTGCGGGTACCCTTTTTTGGGGGTTGTTTTCAAGGGAAACCGAAACCTCATCCATTGGGTTGCTGAGCCTAGACTGCAATGGCGTGTTTCTCAAACTCAGGGGCGGCCCGCCCCTTCCACCTTGGTCCAGGCAGGAACCCCCACGAATGGAAGGCTCCCTCGCCATTTCGCCGCCTCGTCGTTGTAGCCCAGCTCCAGCAACGGCCCAACCTGCGGGAAAGCCAACACGCCCCGCGGCAGGGAACCCAACGGACCGCTTTTGCGGCGTTTTCGCGGGCCAAGTTTTCAGGAGGCGGTTTCCGGCAACGGAGCCTAATCAAAGCCAAGTTACGTAGGCAGTTCTGGTTAAAAATCCTTATATTCATCCCCAACTGCTCATCTTGTCTATCCTTGGCAGGGTGTTCACTGGGAGCCACAGAATTCACTCCCTGAAAAGGCGAGATCCGCTAGTAAAGTAAGGACCTTCATAGCGGGTGGAATCGCGTGTTTCTTACCCTCAAGCGAGCGCAATATTTGCTCTACAAGTAGATTCCCCCGATCATTTGTGCCACCGTACTTTGATGATAGTGGTTCCCTTGATAGGAACCTTCAGAGTGCATATGCAGAATTCCCTTGATACAGTTGACCATCCTTAGCGACGTGGACCATTTCTAGGGTTCCCCCACAAGAAGGAGCGCAAATCGCCACTTTTCGAACTGACCCTCAAATCGGCCGCTTTGCTGGTCACTTGGGTTCGTGAGGTTCCAGGCCACACTAAGGGGCGAGTCTCTATGATGGCCGCTCCCCCCTCACAATGTGCTCAGTGGACAGTCGGTTCGTGGTTTGTCTAAACATCCCATCGATGTGAAGGTCTGGACTGGTGGTTTGGTGGTTAAAACAAATCCCATCTACCCTCTACAATAATTATAGGGTTCAAATCCAAACCACCAATCCAAACCACCAATCCAAGCCACGAATCCAAACCCCCCATCCAAACCCCCAATCCAAACCACCCCCCAGACCTGTTGTAGCAAACCGCCGCATTTCGACAAAACGCTCAAAACGCTCGACCCCGCGCCAGGTTGTCCAGCGAATGCTGGAGGGCCAAGGCGGAGGATGAGCCTTCGGATGGCGCGTTCAGCCGGACAGTGGTCCGGTCCGAGTGAATAATAATAGTTCACCAACCTGAAACTTGCGGTGGTTGGGGGGCTATTCCCCACATAAACCACCATTTGGGGTGAGGTCGTGTGAGGTCGTTATAATTCACCCAGATCCAACGAAAACAGTTGTTTAAACAAGAGTGGTTTATACATGTTTCAAGGGCTTGGCCCAAGCCTGGCAAAATGCAAACAAATGCCTCCAAATGGCTGGGTGCATTGGAGGGTACCCTTCTCCACATTGGTTTAAGTGGAAACCCGCCTTCTTTGACACCTACCCTCATGGCTCTTCTTTCCAACCTTTCAGCATCACCCACACGGTGGAAGAGGCAAATCCGGGCGTGTCTCTACATGAGACCCTCAACATGGGTGGGGCCCTTTCGTTTTTCCTTTGCTTCCAGCACTTCGAACCCTTTGGTGCACAGAGATCGAAACGACGCCCACAAGGGCATGACCCAGCCGACACGTCTCTCTGAGCAGTACGCGACTCAGCTTGTCAACCACTTGGAAAACCAGGTCGCCTCCCAGGAGTCTAAACGTCCAAACCCCTCAAGCGATGAGCGACTTCAAGCTACAGGTGAACGTAGAGCTTGGCTGAGTCCCCCTTGCTCACAGCAAACTTGAGCCAGCTACTTCCATTTGGTTAAGACCCCTGGGAAAAAATGTTTAAAACAAAAATAGTAGTGATAAATTCCTTTTAAAACCAACAAGGGAAATTTAAAAAAAAAAAAAAAAAAAAAAAAAAAAAAATCTTAAGCAAATGGAAGTCTACCTCCCTGGGGCATCCACCTCTCCGAGCTTCGGGCCCCACGTTTTCCCTCTCGATCCGGCGATCCGGCGCGACACATCGACCGCGCGAGCCACGCATCGACTGCATTGCGGGCCATGGGTGACTGTCTGAAACCCCTGTGTGTGACGCGTGTGTCAGACTTCCCCAAACCCAAGCCTCCAAAGACCCGATTCCACTGCCTTTGTGGCAAAAACCTTTACCCCTTGAAAGGTCGTGGACGTTCAATCAGCCTGCGAAATCACTCTGTCAGCCTACTCTTTCTTTCGCCCTCTCCGCAATGCAAGACCTTTCGCTATGAAACTTGCGGCCCGTTCTGCAAGCGCTGTCTGAAACATCTGCAAGTGGACAAACTGTGACATCTTCAGAACTACGAGCCATGGAACAGAGACAACTCATCATGAACCGTCAGAGCTGGAAGAAAACATACTGCACCGCATATATGCCTAAGGATGCTCTGCCAGGCAGGGATCCATTTTGCAAGTGGACCTTTTTGTCGTGGCTATGCTCCCTGCCTGGCTAGGGAGGCTCCCATCTCGTCTCCCCCGTGCCCCTATTGAAGTAGTAGACCTTCCCGCTGCCCGGGTCCGTGGTCTGCTCCCAGCCCGGCGGCAGCCCGCCAATGGCGCCGCCGCCCGCGCCCAGCGCGGGCGCGGGCGCGCTCATGGGCGCGGCGCTCATGGGCGCGCAGCCCGCGGGGGGGGGCGTCCAGCTGGTCTCTCCAGTGGCGCGGTTGCAGTAGTAGCTCCTGGTTGTTTTTGCCCTCGCCCTCTCCCAGACCAAAGCGGCCATGGGTCAAATCCCGTACCCAGTGAACATCCCAACCCCCAGCAAAATAGACTAAAATGGGTGTGCACCTATCCCAACATGGTACCATTGGTTTTGACCCACGGCCAAGGCTCAAGCGAAGGAATCACGTTTGGAAAAGCGTTGCACAAAAAGGGAGGGGGAGGTAAAAGCCTGCCGCCTGAACCCCGCCGACCGATGAAGCTCCAAATTCGGTGAGCAAGATTCATGGGTTCAGACCGCACGTGCAATGACACCCCCCAGTCAAGAGACCCGGGTTCCCATTCACGTCGGATTCATTCAGGCGGCAATTTGGAATGGTACCCTAAAACGTACCAACCGGCCATCCATATTCAACGGCGCCCCACTTCTGAGATGTCGCACCACCAGCCTTTTCAGCACAGTGTCCAAACATTGTACCCGCTGCATACCAAGATCAAAGTTCCTATGACCCTGCAACAGCGCTGCGCCTGCCACTGGATCTGCACGAAATCAGCACCTGACCCTGTGAGAGCGCTGCGACTGCTAATGTTGCGAACGCGCGCCGTGCCACTGGCCCCAACATCCAGCATGCTTCAAGATCCAAACGTGCCCAGGCGTCGCGATCGGGCAAACTTTCGACCATCTACTGTCATCCAGAGAGCTAGCTTCGAGTCAATCGCTGTACCACGGAAGCTCCGTCTAAGCTTCCTTCGATGAATGTCCGCAGAACCCCTTGCTGGGGATATCGTTTAAGTCGCAGAAACCTCTTCGTCACTTTTGGCCCCGCCGTCTCCTGCCGCTGGAGGGGTCCGTCTGCTGCTCCCAGCCCGGCGGCAAGGCGCCGGCCGGCGATACCGCCGGCGCTGCAGGCGCGGTCCAGCTGGTCTCCCCCGTGCCGCGGTTGCAGTAGTACAGCCGCCCGCTGGGGTCGGTGATCTGGAGAGGCGAAGCAAAGAGAGCGCGTGTCCCCTATGGACCGTAGACTACTGGATTTGTTTGACCAAACCTCAAAGCGAAACCAGAAGGAAATTCCGAAGCCATCAAAATGCGGGTCCAAGTCCTTGTTTTGGACTCGCATCGAGAGATTTCTTATTCTGGTGACCCTAAAAGTCGGCTGGAACACCCTCCAAAAACGGGTATTGCTTTCTTAGACAAAAGTGAATTGCAAAACGCTGGCACCGACTCTTCAAAAATGACACAGCTTCATGACTTTCTACACCCCCCATGTTTTCCCTTTCTCAGAGGACACAATGGTTCCAGCAAACAGGTTACATGCATTACGCAATGTTGGTAGCCTGGGATCTGGACCCCAGTTTTTCGCGTGTTGAAACAGAGGGCCCTCAAAAACGGTGGTTTCACTTCACTGCTTTCCGTTACAAGGGCCAGGAAGCCCTTCAAGTCTCACCTGCAAAACCTAGCTTGAGAGGGGAACCGGTTGGCACTTCTAAACATGGCCCGAAAAGGGAAGCCCAGAAGGTTAAAACGCTGGTTTTTGGACTATGAGGCCGGCACTGGGACGGTTTCGGAACAGAAAAGAAGACGAGGCTCGCGCAAGGGAGGTACCGGGAGGTTGCCTGAAAACTGCCGAATCTCGCGTCCAGCCCACTTTCCCGGCGCAAATGCTAACAAAAAACAATGGATCCTTTCCCGAAAATACAACCTCCGCCATTGGAATCGCTCTCTTCTGCAGATTCCTACGTCGGGAGTTGGACGAAGACATGCCGATGTCATGCTTCAAAAGGCGAAACGATGACATCAAACCCTCAAATGACCTGCTGAACCTTATAAACCACCCCGTGTGGTTTCCTTTGGGGCGACTTTTGGGTGCATTGACACCTTCCCTGCCGAGCACTGCATTCCATTTCCCGCCTGCTCCCAGCCTGCCGGCAAGGCTGGCGCCCCATTGGGCGCCCCAAAGCCTCAGAGCCGGACACCGAGCTTCGCAAGCTGGAACCTTTCACCAAACACCCGCTGCCCACTGGAACTCTCCATCTTGGCCCACGTAAACCTCCCAAGCTCAAGCTCTTACTCTTGCTTGTCCACTTCCCACCTGAGTTTTGCCCCTGGACCACGTCCACCTGACTTCAAGAAACTCCCATAAGAAGGCGAAACGTGTCAGGGCAGGCTCACTCGCCAAAAATCCCTGCGGCGCCAGGTTCGACTCAGCAATTCGACCCTTTGCAGAACAAATTTGCAGAAAGGCGCTTATTCTTGGAATGGTAGGATCGCAAGCTTTTTGGACATGAAGGTGTACCACTAGCCCGACAAAAACCTTGGCCTCCCTATTCTTCGAGGATTTACCCAGCGTACTTGTTTATGGCACTTGTCTGGCCTTCAGGGCTCCACACTAATCCCTTTCCTTCCTTTGTCGAACTAGAATAAATCACAGGAAACCAAGCACTGGGTCTTTTGACAGTTCCAAAACTTGGGTCTTTCAGGTCCTTTCACAGACCAGCCTCGAGCCTCGGTGAGTTTCTTTGGCCCTCGGCCCTCGGCCGAAACTTTTTGGCCGGATTTGCCGAACTCCGGGCATCCCCACCAGGCTGTGGGCAGGCACCTGCCAGCAAAAGTCGCGCGGCCGGAACTGGCCGTAAGCCTCCCCCCCCCCGCAATAGGTCCGGTTCCCGCCAGATGAACGTCGGAGTCATCGGATCTGTCCTCTCCGCGCAAACCCAAAGTCGATGTTTTGGAGCAACCCGTCTCAAGGCGAGTCTTCCCACTTTTGAGGTGCGCCCCGTGACCCTTTGTCTCAGCCCGGCGCCGGGCGCGCCGTAGGGGGAGAAGTGGGGCGTGCTCGCCGGCGTGGCCATGGGGCCGTACTGGCCTGCCCACCCGGCGGTCTGGAAACATGTCTCGCTTGGTTTTCGAAGTCGGTGGAATCAGCAACCCTAGGGGCAGCTTTTGAATCAGCAAGCCTAGGGGCACCATGGGGCACCATGGGGCACCTTTTGGGAGAAAGGAAAAGGAGAAGCTAAATGAAAGGCCTAGGTTGAGTAGGTTAGTTTCAGGTATGCGAGTAGGATCTTAGAGGATGCGGATTCCGGGGATCGATGTAATCAGGAATGGAATGAAAAAGGAAACAAACATGAAAACAATCCAGCTTTGACACAGGAGCCTCTAGGTCCGCCATGGACCCCCTTTTGCCAATCTCGAAGTCGGCCCCCCCAACAAAATGCGGTGTTGACCCTCCCCTACAAACCCCGCCAATTCAGGAGTCGGCAAAAAGGATGCAGGGACCCTTCAGGAGGATGGTTCCATCTATCATGGATGGAAGATGTTTGCCAATGAGACCAAAGATATGCTCCACTGCCAACAAATATCCCGTCCACAGCATTGCAGTCCTACATGCGTGGAGCTTTCGTTGTGCACCTCTAACCCTCTGTCACCCTCGCACACTCCTAGCCGTGCAC